CCCCCCCCCCCCCCCCCCCCAAGAAAAAATTCATTTCTTTTAGTCAGTAAATTATCTTCAGTATTTTACAAAATTTTATTGCTTGGTTATCTCCTGTTCATACATCTGTTTATATTTTCTTGGTTATTTTGGTGTGATACGTAAGCCACATAAATCTATGTATATCTTCGCTCATCAATTTTTTCTTTCATTTTTAACTAGAATCTGGGTCAGTGTAAAGATTGCTTATAGTTACTGGTTTTGACAATGCTCTTCTGTCAGAGGTTTTCTACATGAGCAGGAATAACTGGGATTTCACAATATGGGGTTCTAATGGAGCAAAGGTCATTGTTTTGTTTTCTGGCCCAAATCTCTGGAATATACCTGTTGGCAACGTCTGGCATTAAAACACACCTGAGTCATAGTCATGATGGAAGAAGCTTTTAATTAATAACAGGCATTGGTCACGTGTTTACCTGAAGGCTTTTGCTGATTAGTTCCCCGTAGCTTGGAAATCCCTTTTGGTTGCATTGGTAGTGTGTTTGTTTCCAGTTTTTAACCAGTTTTGTAAATTTTGTACAGGAAGTTTTTTACACTGAGGAATGATATTTCTCTGAGTGTGTGTGTATGTTTTTTTTTTTTTTTTTGTCACAGTTTTGCATGTTTTCATATATTTTTGTATGTTTTTGGTTGCATATGTGTGTGTCACTGTGTGTGTATGTGTGTGGGTTTGTGTGTGTGTGTGAGAGAGAGAGAGAGAGAGAGATGCAACAATTGTGAACTAGCCCCAGTGACCCTACTGTTAATTATGTACAGTGCCAAGTATTGATTTCCTACTGTATATCTCTTCCAGTCACTTTTACATGACCCTAACCCCAATAGCCCTGCCAACAACGAGGCAGCACAGCTTTATAGGGAAAACAGGCGGGAATATGAACGGCGGGTAGCAGCCGTGGTGCAGGAAAGTTGGAACGATGACGATGACGAAGAAATGCAATCAAAAGAAGAAAAATAATAACTCTAGACTTTTCTCATGTTTTTTTTTCTTCTCACCTGAGGACTTGTTTGATTTTTAAATTGAATCATCATATAAATAAGCAGTAATCATGAGCACATATATTGGCTGAAATTTTGTTGAAATGCGCTGGGCTTTTAATGGTAGGACAGTGCACCGTCATCTGTGAGCAGCACCTCCTGTACCCGTGGCGCACCCTAGTGGGAGGATGGAATATAGAGAGAAACCACTGGACTGTGAATCTTCATTCATCTGTGATGAAATTGATGAAATCGACAAAGTGTTTTTGTTATTGTTATATGTACAAGCCACTACAAATACACCTTGTTATGTTGATGTTATTTTCCCTGGACCTCGTCTCATAGTCTGTGTGTGGACTACATGACAGCTTGGAATTATCACTACTGTTACTAGTTAATCTGCAGATGTTCTGAAAAGTGGGACATTGCTTGGATCCTATTCTTAATACCATACTTTCAGCTTTGGCAAAGATGAGAAACCTTCAATTTTTTCATGAAGGGCATGAGCCTGTTTTATTATTATCATTATTTCTGAGGACATCGTTAACAAGCTGCAGTTGACTCTCCGCAGATGAGGGATACATGTGAAGTCATATGTTGTGATGAACTCTGCAAACTTTGTCATCAGTTTTCAGCCTTCCACCTACAGGACACTGGCAGATTCTACTGAAATAACATGAACAGAGTGTGAGGGTCTTTTTAAAAAACGCCAACAAAATTTTAACACGACCTCCTCTCCTCTGTTTCAGTCTCTCTTAGACGAGCCTAACCCCAACAGTCCAGCCAATAACTTAGCTGCTCAACTTTATCAGGAAAACCGACGGGAGTATGAAAAAAAAGTGCGGGTTATTGTGGAGGAAAGTTGGATGAGCATCTGAATTGGGATTAGCATCTGAACTGGATTAAAGAGAACAGCCAGTGTTGGTACCTGTCTACTATTGTATCACCTGTCTGTCCAGTTACCATCTGAATTGGGATTAGCATCGGAACTGGATTGAAAGAGAAACAGGCTGGGTTCGTACCTGTCTGTTGTTGTATTATCTATCTGTCCATTTATGTCACTGCCCATGTCAGAGTGAACTTCAGATAACACTGGATAGTTCATGTAGGAAGGCTTAGTCTCTGCGAGATTTCAACTGCAGCTAAAGCTTTCATAGTTCCATATCTGATCACTGTTCTGGAAGAGGATGTTGGAGCAGTTTATTAATCAAAAGATGCTAAGACACCTTTCATTACTAGGCCATGTGTGGCATCTTATCCTCTTATGACACAGGAGACACTTGTGTGAAATGCTCATCTTTGATGTCTTTTGGGGATGCTTGTTGTTTTCTAGAGATGTTCAGGAGGGATTTTACTTGTAATATTAACAGTGGAGACCATCAAGTGATTAAAGGACTTTGTATTTTGATACATGAATTAGATGGAAAAAAATCACTTAACCAAATATGGCTTGGTGAGATAAAGTCACCTGCATTGGATTTGATGTCTTTGCCAAAGACTTTTTTTTTTGCTCTGAGATTTACCTCTGTATTCACAAGGACATTTGTGGACAAAATAAAATATGGTGGATAACTGGCTAAACCAGTAATACACCTGGTACTAAAAATATGTGAACACTCATATCAACTTTCTCTCTTTCTTTCTGTTGCCAGTTTTAAGACACCTTAACAGTGCCTGGTTCCAACTTGTTTGTCTACCACTAGGGTCTGAAATAAAGGAGCACCTGCCTAGTAAATCACTGGACATCATTAGCATCACCATTATTTATTAACCACTGTCTGAGACAGTGGCCACTTCTCCCATTTTGCTTTTGTTGTCCTAAGTCTATTGGGTATTTTAGTTGGGGTAGGAAATAGTTGTGGTAGTTTATGAATGTGATTTAAACATTCATTTGTGATAGAACAGGCAACCTTTGTTTTCAATGATGAAAAAGTAGAGTACAGTTTCCATTTCGTATTGGTTGTTGATTAGGCATCAAAATGTAGGTCAAGGCTGCAGAAAGGTCACGAGTTGTCATATCATTCAAGGCAGGCATTTCTGCACCAATCATTTACAAATTGGAACATAGAATCTTGTCTATTTTAATCGTTGTATCTAGGGTTGTTATCTACAAGTTTGTTAAAGCACAAAAATATTAAATTTCTATTTGAAGTTCCTTTTTAATCCTGTGTTTGTGATGTGCTTTAACTGATGCCAAATGTTTGGATTTAACTGAAGCCTTGGGGGTAGTTTCAAACAAATTACATTTTTTTTTTGACATGGCTGGGTACTTGACTTTTTGTGACTTGATATTATATGTTGAATCTTAGGTGTGCAAATAACTCGTTGCACCACTGATAGAACGTAGTGAATATTGTCATGTGTGAAACGTATGACATTAAAGGGGGGGGGGGTATTTTTACGCATGTGAAAGGGATGTGTAATTTAAGTTTTTTTTCCAATATTTTTTTTTGCCTTGCCACCACTCATGGTATTCATGTTAACTTAATTAAGCTCAGAAAGGAGGAGTGATGACACCTGTTAGTGCTCTGTGGCAAGGAGGTTCAGGTTATTCAAGATATAAAGTACTGGTCTTGGTACCAGTTGATTTGTTTGTGGTTAATGAGCACATCAACCCTGTTCTGTATTACATCTGCATTCTGTTATTATAAAGCCAAATCATTTAGCCAGTGTACGAATATTGTACAAAGTGTAATAAATTAATTCTAGTAACCTATAACTAGCCTTTGTTTTCCCTTGAATCACAAAATTTTCAGAAAAGAAAAAGTTGCAAGCAATATATTCTTTTACACTTTAATCTGAAAATATGAAAAGAAAAGACGCAAAACGAAGATGCAGTTGATGTACATTTAATGCCAAAACTGATGTATGAGAACCTGTTGTATTTCGCATTAAAATGTATACTTCACAAATATCTATCTCTTGCTGAAAAGTAACAAATTTTACAATATGTGTACCACAAATGGGGAGAAATAATTTTTGTTCCTCCACCATAATTCAACATTGGCCTTTCTCTCATATCAAACAAGACCACAAATTGAGTCAATATGACCTGATGGTGAACAGATTACAGAGGACAGTTACAATACAAACCTGGATAGGCTGCATTTTTACAGACAAATGCACAAAAATATGACGTCACATGCAATAACACTATAGTGTACAATTTGTCTTTGTTTTGAAAGGGGTAACCTCAGCCACATTTAACCAAGAGCTCTAGCCTGAAAATTTACCTCAATTTTTTGACTAAAATTTTAGTCTTATTTGACTCCAGATATATCAGTAGCCCAATGACATGAAAGGTTACATGTTTTGTTATGAAGGGCAAGACCTGGCTAACCTTTTAAGTGGACTATTATGGATTGTGTTTTAACTTGAAGCATAATTTCTGGTTTAACGGTTTAGACTTATTTCTTGGCAATTATCCTTTGGAAAAGAGCCTCAGAAATAAATATCTTTTTTTCCATAAAATAACCAAACAAAATACTTTGTTTTGATAGCGCCCTTATGTAATGACTGAAAATATACAATTTGTCTGACTTTATTTTTACCATCATGTCTATGCTACGTTTAAGAATTACAACAGAAAAAGCGATATTGCACTTGGATTCATTTGTTCTCTAGTTAGCGTGGCATAACAGGTTATGCTGGTGTAATGGCACAACTTAAAATACAGAATATCAACTAGAAATTAATAACATTTAAAAACATTTGTGAGAACTGCTGGTCTGAAGGATTTTTTGATGGACTGACTATAAATTCAGAAAGGTTGCTCTTAAGACTGTTGTTGGTCTCTAGGACCTACTGAAAAAAAAATTGTACTGATCCTTGAAAAGTTTTCTTATCCATAATTCACAGGGCCAACAGTTTCAGCATGTCTGATTGCAACATAATTAACAAGTTCATATCACTTGAACTGACGCTGGTGTGGCTATTCAAGGATAATTCAGATCCTGGAAATATATAATTCCATACATAAACATTAGCTCCTAAATTCATATTGCAACACATAAGCGTATGGCACTGTCATTGTCTTCAGTCATTCTTTTTTGACCATTTCTAAATACACTCAAATCACACATCAAAATCTCTATGCGTTAGGGCAGACACATAAAAGAACATCAGAGAAAATCTGGAGGCTCATAATATATCTCTTCGCTTATACTGTAAGCAATCTAAATATGAGATAAATTTTAATATACAACTTATAAAACAGCAAGAGAAGATACAAATACAATACTGAACAGATATGTCCAACATGGAAATATCATCAATTTGATGAAATGAATGGTATTCATGATCATGACATGTTTTAATAAAAGAGAGTTTTTCCTACATGCATATATTGTCTGCATTTATAAAATCAAGTTTACGGTCTTCAGGCTATTTTATAGCCTAATATGTCTTGGGTCTCTGTGGCAAACACAGGTTGTAGTAGGCATTTTTATCCCAGAAATCAGTAGTCTTCCAACCACACCAACCCTGTAGAAAAGATGAAAATGACTTTTTATTAATAAGAGCAAAAGTAAACATTAACACAAACAAACATAAAGTTTATCATATTTCAGTAAAAAAAAAGTTTACAGAATACCACTACAAATTTTTGGAATTATGTATTTGGCATCCAGAAAAATTCTAATTACCTAGTATGTATGAATCTTTAATTCATAAAAGCAAATGTATGTTGTGATAAAAAAACCATATGTCAGCTCACTGAATATCACAAAAATGCCCTAATACTTCCAGAGTAGCTATGGATATTTTTTGAAAGACTGAAAGATAAAGATTGAGGAACACCAGCTCTCCCGTCACTTCAGTGAAGTTACCTTCTCCTGTATGATCCTCAGATCCTCGCCCCCAGTGTAGTGAGGATCCAGAATGAGGAACTTCAGCTCTCCTGTCACTTCACTGAAGTCTACTCCCAATATTGTGTGGGCTAATACCCCACCACCTGCAGAAAAATTATTACATTATTATGAAATAATACAAAAAATATGACTTTAAATAACAAACAGTGCTGTTTTTAGAAACAATTGACTTTTTTACCACCATTGAAAAACCTACTCCACTGTATACAATTGGACTTTTAAAAGATAATATTGTTTTAACTTTAAAGTCTAAAACATAGCCTTTCTTCACTAAAAGTGGGTCTGGGGGTCTTACCAATCATAACTGGAGTCCCCTGAGTTTGGAAATGATGTGCTAATTCTCTTCCTTTATTGCCCAAGTCAGCACCACTGCTTACAAACATAATTTTTGACTGAACCTGAAATTAAACACCAAGATAATGTTAACCTTTATCTTCTTATCTTTAAAATGTTTTTTACAAAAGAGGTAACAGAATATTCATTCTAAATGTAAAACTGTTAAAATTCTTTCTAGATCATTACATATTTTATAAAAGGGATTTTTCCAAATCTCTGGAGGTTTTTAGCTTTGAGTTATTTCTAACATCTGCCATAAAAATGATCAAATTGGTATTATTCTCACAAAAATCAGCTTGATTCTAGTCTGAGTTTCATGAACATCTTAACCAGCACAAAGTAGAAAATATCACAACCACCTCAAAATAACATCTCAACTACCACAATACTAATAACTCAACCGGCACAATCTCACACATCTCAACAACTACAGATGTTCCATACCCCAAGGAGGTGGTCCAGGCAGTAGCTGACTTCTGTTGACCCAATCCACTTCCTGGAGCCAACAAAGCTGGGCTCTTTGTCTCCTATGTCCACCAGTGCCTGGAACCAGAAATACACAGATGTTTATATCCTTGCACCTTTGAAACAACAGGATAACTGTCTTGGCAAAAAACTTCACATACTAATCATATCAACGGGATCACAGCAATTGGCAGAAGTTTTTATTCTGTGGAGAACAGTCAACTACTAGGTCCATACCAACATTCGTGCAACAGGAATAAAAAACATTGTTGTACATGTTGTACGATAATTTGGCATCGAAAACTGCACTTGACTTTTAATTTTCAACACAGGCCCATCTCATTATTCATTCCACCTTTTTTCACATTACAAAATTCAATGCATCAGAATAATGAAATCATCCACCTGGACAACCCACCTGTTGTATCTGCCTGTGTGTTGGTATGGGGACGTCAGTGTAGCCCTGGAGACGGAACCAGGATATCAGGGTCTGGAGAGACCTGTAAGCACACCCCCACTTGTCATCATCAAAGTGATCCTGCATATAGTGGTGATAGGAGTAGGTCCCCTGGACTGTGTAGATATGGCCATCTTTTACTGGGAGAGAATTACAGAAATATGCTCAGAAAAAATAAATAAATTGAACATGGCATTGACAGATTAAAAAATACAGATGTAAAACAAGCAGATTCAGATATATTTATATATAGACACAGATTGTGCTTTCTATCTGATCAATGCAGATTTAAAATCATCCTGGATTTCAATCTTGCCTGCAACATGTATACACACACACACACACACAGTCCCCATCCACATCTCAACAAACAGCTTCACTGCAGCAAATCTCAACTACCACAATGTACCATTAACTATCACAATGAGCCTACACAGTGCCTACCTCCTGGATCAGGGAGCCCTATGTGTGTATTTTTCAGACATCCATCCCAGACCTGATCTGAGGGAAAGACCAGGGCATTGGCACGCCTGAACACTGGCCTGTCTGCAGGGATGTTGAACAGTTTGTGAAGGGAACTCCTCATGGGCTCTGAATTTAGAGAAATACATGGTTGATATCTAAATATCAGGGTTTCTAATAAAAAATATTAGTATGAATTGTACTCTGAATAAAAAGAAGAGTTGTCTTTAAGTTAAACTGTTCTTGGATTCTTTTTACCAGTAACAGTATGGTATCCTTCACTGTCTATCCAAAAACTAAAGGCGCATTTGTCAAAGCTCTTGTTACCATAAAAATTTCTCAACAATTTGAAAACATCCCTAGATGATTAGGTAAAGTGAAAATTACTGAACTGATTTTTAAAATGTATCACTGACTTTAATAATCATATACCAAGTTGGTGACAAACTGGAAAAAGAAATCACAGTCAGTCCTTGTGTTTATAACGTACGTAGAGAATCCTCTGTAATACCATCAGGATACACCACTGTGAGCAGTGTATCACTGCCTGGGTGTCTGAAGTGATATGGCCGTGGTACAATGAATTTATTGCCTGCCTGAGGTTGAAAAGTATAGAAATTTCATTGAAATTTAATTTAAGCATAAAACTCAACTNCTAACGCTGGTGGTACAATTAGCTTGTTTAACCACATACTTGATTCAAATTAAACAAATCAATCATAATTCTTAAAACACAATTTCAGTAAAGTACATGAAAACGACAGTTCAAAAACTATGAAATTATGAGAAGCAACTTGCTGTAATCTTAGAAAGATCTTGAAAATGAAATTTGTAGTATATACTTGAGGTATTTAAAAATTTGCCCAGACACTTCAATTACAGGCTCGCATAAAGTGCATCTTGTGCTTACAGTTGGGCACCTGTGTTTGGAACCTGTGGGTAATTACTATAACTGTACACAATCTCACCTGTTTGTGTTTACAGATACACCTGTGCATGGCATCCAGCTGTCTACACAACCCCTCCACTAACACTGGCACTATCTGCTGGAGAGGCATTCTCTGTGAGATCAGAACCAGAACATCTAGAGGGAGATCCAGCTCAACTAACTCAAAGTCCTCTGAAATATCATATAATATAGACCTTAACATACACTGACAAGTCTGTTAAGAGAGTTTATGTATGTGTATGAGTGCTTCAAACTTAGGGATATATAGAAGGCATAAAATTGACTCCTGTTACTGTAATGGTGGCCTAAATTTACGAAATAAACATTATTATTATCCATACCCCATGAATGAGATCATTATGTGTAACATGAGGAACTTACAACTTCTGTATTTACTGGACAGCTTAATCTTGGTAGAATACTTTTAAAAACATTTCTGATAAACTAAAGATATAGTATTATGTATTATTTGATCATACTATGCCTTTAAAAAATTAAACCATAAAAACATGAGGCAATCTTATGAAACATTATATCATATTTTAATAGCCAAGAAGCTTCTCTACAACAGAAGTGCTATATTTTAAGCTTTGGAGTGTTAAAGAAAGCAATGAAAGCTGCAAAACTTCCAAGGTGAGCATAGTAACCAGGTGAGCATAGAGTATGGTGTAAATACCTTTCCCAAAATAATGCATCAAGTTATGTTACTCCATGTCAGTCATTGTAAGTTCTTCTTTTAAAAAGAGCTTTGTTAATATCTTAGCATCATTTTTATATCAAACACTGAGATAGCATATGCAATTCTAAACATAAAGCCAGCGCTATGTGTTTTAATATCAAGTTAATAAATAAGCAAAAGCAAGCCATTACCCTTACTGTGTTCGTAGTGGATGATGGGGGCACATCCTATACCAGTGTCAAGGTCACCTGTCACTTGGAACAGGACATTGACACCCACTGGATCCTGTAATAATAATAATAATAATAATAATAATAATAATAATAATAATAATAACTGTTCAGGTCTCCAGTTACTTAGAATAGAACATTAATACCCACAAGATCCTGTAATGACAGAAATCAATGAATAATAATAATAATTGTCTAGGTCTCCAATCACTTGGAAATTAACTGAATAACCATAATTGGAAGACAGAAACAAACAATAAATATAAATAATTTTCCTTTTACTAATTTAAGTAGAAATGTTGTGGATTTTTTATTTTTGAAATTACATAAGATAACATAAAATTACATAAAAATGTACCTAAATATAAATAATTTTATTGAGTGCCACCTCTTATTTAACCAAGGAACCTCTGGAAAAAGAAAGTCAATGACCTCACTACAACAGAGATAATGAAATATAAAAAGAAAGCTAAATCTTACCTCACTTCTGCTCTTTTTTTTCTTTTTAGAACCAGAATTACTTCCTTCCTCTTCATCATCAATGTAATTTAAAAGATCTGCACAAGTCAGTCCTTCTGTGTTCAAAGTACTTAAAGAAGAATCATTCTCACTTTGATTGGATAATAAAACTGAGCTGTTTTGAATGTGGAATACTGCTGCATTGGACTGTAACCGGTCTTGAAGGTCTTCTATTTCTATGGCAATTTTTTCTTGACACTTATCTGAAATTCATTTGAGAACAAAATGCAGGTCAGCAATTTTCTACTATAATTCTATTTAGCAAAGATCAAATGTTAAAAAAAAAAAAAAAAAAAAAAAAAAAAAAGAGTCCAATATTAAAATAAAAATTAAAATAAGCTGACCCTGAATACAATCCAGTTTATACAACATTTATTTTTTCAATTAATTCCTCACAAATTTTTCATAACTTGATAAGAATATGAAATAACAAAAACATACCTGGTAAGTGTACATTTTCAAACCTCAGCTGTAGTCGAGGTCGTAGCCTAAATATCAGACTATCTTCAAAACTAAGGCTATCCTCCTGGGCCCTGTGTACTTTAACCCTGACCACCTCATTGTCCTGTACATTACACAGATGCACCGTGTCCTCCGTCACCAGAGGGTTACCCTTGTCCAGGTGACACACCAGGAAGTTTTTGCCTTGGAGGACATCCTACGTAAATATAAAGTGGTGAAGTGACATAAATAAATAAATAAATAAATAAATAAATAAATATATAAATTCTGAGATATTGCATTATTTAGAATGATACACCACCCATCCTGGACAAAAAGAAAAAAATATTCAGTTCAACAGACCTGGTCAAAAAGATCTCCAATGGATCAATCACACTGAAGTTTCCTAACCCAAAGTTTCAAGAAGTGAAAACAATAAAGAGGCCATGAACACAACTACAGGCAAATATCACATATTATACATGTTATTAAAATGCTGGCAGATACCTCAATTCCCAGGGTCAGTATTTTTCTGCTCTCTTTGACGAGTGCAGATTCTGACGTAACTGCTGGTGAAATACAGTACACTCCACATACATCAAACCCTGAAACACAGAAAAAAGATCAATATATTTATTAATGTTTTTCAAATTTGGCTAAATCAACACTATTTTTACTAAGTAATAGTGAAAGTTTTTAAAATTGGTTTAATGGAAATGTGTCAATGCGGAAATTTTGACAGAAAAGATTCTCTCAAGATTTTTCCTCTGTAAATAATAAAAAGAGAAATACAAAAAAACATTCACCAGCAGGCAACAACTGTATAGTTTCTCTTAGATCCTGCACCAGGGTGTTGCTCTTAGATCTAGTGTGTACAGCACAGTTTACAATGAAGATGTCTCTCTCCTCCCAACTAGCTGGGCCAACAAGAAAACCAAAGGTTTTGGGTTCACAAGTGGGGGAAATATTAATAAGGTCCTAAAAGAAGCAAGGAGTATACACCTTACCATTATTTCCATCAATTTTTATATTTATGTAATGTTTAATTATTTTAATAGATTTTAACAGTTTTCACAAATTTATTGATAGTTTTTATTCAAGTACTGGAATCAAGAAAACTAAATTTTGGATATTATCAGAAATGAAATCTACAGAAAAACAATAAAATATATTACAGGTACATTCTTTGAAATAGTTACAGATCAATTATTGTCTTATAATAAAATAAAAAATAATTTACCTGCAAATTGTCATTTTGGATTTAATGATTGCAATTATGATTATCATATGGATTTTTTGTATTGGTATATTGATTAGAAATGACTCACCTCACAGACTCCAGATGAAATGGTAACTCCTGGCTCTGCTACATTCGAAGATGCAACATTTTCCTGTATGAAGACAATAGGAAATAAGTCATTATGTCTTGAAACATAAATCTCAGTCATATACAAAATAATAAATAAAAAATAATAAAGTGTGTCAAATTACCAATCACTAAATAAAACTCAATATCTTGTTGATTATGGTTCAAGAAGCATTCACATTAGACATATGCAATTTTCAATTGTTAAGGTCTAAAACTTGAATAATTATAATTAGAAACCATTTATTTTAGGCTGTACAAATTACTGTTACACTTGGCTCAGAAACGAATGATAATAACAAATACCAAATTACCATCCCATGAGTGGCCTTGTTTTGATTGAATTATGAAGCTGTAGCTCGACGAAGAAAAAAGGTCATATTTATAGCAGTAGTGTGACTCTTTTCGTTGGATGTTTTCGTTCTGTCAACATATGTTTGGCCACGGTGGCAAAACCATTTAGCGTACTTTTTCGAAGATTGGTGGCAATTTAAGGAATAATTGCTCTTTAGATGAAATCTGAATTACTTTGGTGTTTCAAGATACTAAAAACCATACTTAGATTATTTCACTTTATCCAGATAGAAAAAATTAGGGGTTTACCTTGAATATACCAGCGGCAAATGTTACCTCTGTGGGCGCAGCCATCTTGGGAAATGAGGCTAATTACTTCCGCTTCTTCCAAAAATTATTCCGCACCGAGACAATGTTCTTGTAGATATTTTACACTTCAATGTACTAAATCTCCATCTTTGATTATAAATGCAAATTATGATTTCCGAAATACTTTTTAACTCCCTTCGTGAAATAAACTACCAAATTAAATCATCTTAGGCAGAGTGGAACTTTCTTTTTTCTCGTCATAACCTCCCCGAGCGGTAAGACGGCTAGGAAGAAGCAGACGATGGATGCTGTCACTTACGAGTAGACCTAAATTTGTTTGTGATATTTATTGCATCCGATTTTGAAACGAAAACTAGTTGTTTAAGAGTCAGCATGTCAAGGGCAAAGGCTGAATCAAGGCTTACAATAACACAGAATTTTATTTGCGGAGGTTTGGCCGGAATGTTTAGCAGAACGGTCCTTTCTCCTTTAGAAGTTGTTAGAATATCTTGTCAAATAGGGACGCCGGAAACGCGACAGGGTGCTTACAGAGCCTTCAGGACTCTATACCAGCAGCAAGGATGGAAGGCATTCTGGAAAGGAAACGCTGTAGCCTGTTTCAGACTTCCTCTCTACTCAGTTATTCATCTTTTTACTTATGAAAATCTGTCATTAAAACTTGTGGATGAACAGGGACGGCTTTCTGCATCCACGGCCACGATTGCTTGTATGGGGGCAGCAATTAGTTCTACAGCTGTTTTATACCCCACTGACTTGGTTATGGCTAGATTAATAGCACAAAATGCTGACAAAAAACAGGCAAGATACAGCGGTATGACCCATGCTATAAAAATGATCTGGAAAGAGGAGGGATTTTTACGGTTATATAGGGGGTTGTCATTAGCAGTTTTAGGTACATATGGCTTTGTTATTTTTTGGCCATTACCAGTGCTCTTATCACACGTTTAAACTAAGCTTTGAAATGTATGCTTTGTTTTGTTTTGTTTTAGAAATCCACTTAAAATATTTTGAAAATAGAATGTTTTTAACATGAATATCCTATAAAGCCTGAAATATCTCAATTTTAAAACATGTAATTACCTAAAGCCAGAAAAGTAATTTAACCAAACAGTTGTCAGATGGTGGCATACAGTTATGTTATCTTTTTTTATTTATTACAGAATTAATACCTTTTACTGGCGTAGTTTATTTTACCCATAGTGCAATAGATCAGTTAATAGATAAGCCAAAGTCAGAAATATCCACAGAAGAACATTTTGCAAGGTGGTGCATGTCAACTGCGTTTGCCAAAATGATAGTGTATCCTTTGCATACAATAAAGAGGAAAATGCAGGTATGTTTACAAAACTCATTCTAAACTACCAGTGACACGAAAATTATCAAAATCTTTATAGTAATAGAATGATACAAAAAAAAAAAGGGAATTAGAAAGTATGCTTGTTATTTGCAATCGTTGCTTGTCAATATTAATATCAACTCACACACTCAGAAACAGTTGTATAACATTTGTGATTATATATTATAAAGTTCTCAATTTTTAAACCACTTGCATATTTCTTAGAATATGGCATTCATTTACTAATTTCATGTAATAATAAGATATAATGGGTAGTCTTATTGTTTCAAAGATAACTCATCAGTGCAGAGAAAGAATTAAACATTTTATCCAAGCACAACTTGAACTACACTTGTTATGATTTTTTTTTATAAATTATATATTAAATCATAACTAATTGTAACTATACTAGTTTAATGGCATATTTTCCTTTAACTTCATTGCAGCTGCATTTGTTATTTTTTAATTAGATTACATTAAATTATAACTTAAAGGGATAATAACTCTTCGTATGAGATCTATATTTCACAATAAAAACATTGTGAATAACTCATAGAAATATAATATATATTTTTTTTACGACATAAACAGCAGTTATAGCTATTATTCTGATATTTGAGCATGCTTCAGACCTCGTGACCTCCATTGATAGCTATACTCTGTTATAATCTCTTAAGAGATTTTAACAAAAAACCAAACTTTTTAGAAAAAAACCAGGGGCTAACTTTGAATGTAAAAGTGGATTCATTAACCATTGGCAAGTATGGGAAAATTGATGTTTACTCCAGGAAAATTCATTTTGTGGCCAAAATGAGTTATTATCCCTTTAATTGTAAGCAATATTTGACATATTTTTTCAAACTCCAGGCATCGTCTGCAGTTCTACCAGACAGAGGTGGTGTGGATGTGGACTTCAGGGGCATGTGGGATGCCTTCAGACAGACTGGCTTCACTGGTCTTTGGAGGGGAGCTACTGTAGGATTACTGAAGGTAAAATTATTATTTGGAAGATGGCATCTAGGTTTGAGATGACGTTATCAGAAAATTAAGGATGTTTGTAGGAGAAAAAAATTGCAAGGAAAGAATTCTTATTTGTAAAAAGGAGCCAAGTTTTTGTCAAAATTTGTATGTAAACATGTATTGGTATTTGAATAATTTTATTTTTAAAAAATGTGACACAATCCAAACATCAACCACACCTGACACAATCCAAACATCAACCACACCTGACACAATCCAAACATCAACCACAACTGACACAATCCAAACATCAACCACACCTGACACAATCCAAACATCAACCCAAATATCTGACAGGTGTATCTTACATTGACCTAGGTAGTGCCCTACAGTGTCATCATGATGCTGGCCTTTGAATACATGAAGAGACCATTCCTGTTCTACAACAGATACACCACCAGTCCCTGGTTTGAGGAGTTCTGTCCAGGGGTGGACCAGTCCCTCAGGCCGCATGAGTTGGAGGAGTGGTATCGACAGAGAGCTAATTTAGAGCGCAGGCCACCTGTGCTCATAGATGATTGACTTAGAATGTGTGATATCCCTGCTTTGAATGTGAACCCATGTTTTATGTCTAGCATTGCCCTATCTGGTAGTTTAAAGTTAACTGAACAATCATTGAAATTTTGACTTGTATAAATTTTTGATTAGGATAACTTCATACTTTTTTTATCTCTGCTGAGGATTTGACTCTTTGAATTTGGGGTAATAAGATTGACTGAATTTTTCAGTGGTGATAAGGTTATCTCCAGTTATAGTTTGACTGTTAAGACTGTCATGTACATTTTGAAAACTGAAATGGGTAATTTTTTTTCTGAAAAAAAAAAAAAATAAATAAATAAATAAAATGATAAAAACTGAAAGATTTGTGTGATTTTAGTGAAAAAATTAGCAGGCCCCAAATCACCCTGGCACTTTTTCCTCTTTTTGAAGTACATTAACAAATTGTGTTGTTTTACACTTGAAAAATACGTTATTATGACATTCGAACTGAATGGTTACAATAGTTCACTGCATTTTTACTGTGAGTCGATATGGATTTTTATATTTGCAAATATATTATTCATTTAAAAAGTGTTCCATGCCTTTGAAATATAATCATAGACTAGATTTAAAAGGCATAATGGGGAAAATACAAAAAAATTGAAAATCTCACAAGCATATCCATAAAGTTGACAGTACTTTGCAATCCCTCCCCCCCCCCAAAAAAAAAAAAAAAGAAATTATGAAATCTTAATAATAATTTAGGGTGTAACATATTTGATATAACTTGAAAAATCTAAATTAACATCAAAAATGTGTTTTTTCTTTCTGTGACACTCCATACAGTGGGGTTAGAAATTGCAAACACGCTTGAGCTGAGACTCTTGTTGAAGGAGTAACTGATCTGCGAAATGTCAAGTAAGTGGTTTGTGATAAAAGATGAAATGCAATTCATTACAAATTGTACAGTAACTGCATTGTTTGTGCTCAATGTCATTTCCTGGGACATAAAAATGCTTTTTACTCATTGTGGTGTCTGAAGAGCATTCTATATGAAGTTGTATTATTTTACACCCATTTAATTAAATATTGATAAATCTAGGATATTGTTAATAGAAATCTACATGATATGTATCCAGACTTTGAGTGACTTGGATTCAGGGTATATAATCTCCATGTGGTCTGTTCTGGGGGCAAAACACACTGTTTGCTATTTAAATTTCACTTGATAATAAAATCCATACGTCCAATAGAATGCTGTAATAAATGCATTACTTGTTCATTAGTCTGATTTGAATAGTAATTTTATACCATCAAAGTGATGTGTTTTCTGATTTGCTACTGTATAGCCAGCAATTTTAAAGGAAGGGGGGGGGTCTTTTTCTGTATGGGTGGAGCATATTACCCCCTATGTTGACCCATTGAAGAAATGACATAGAATCTAGAACAAATGTTGATTAACAGCAGACCTTTTCCTCCCAAAAGGGGATTTTTTCGACCCCCCCTGCCCCTCCTGGGACTTCAGCTTGGTCATAATGTTAGATTTGTGGATATACATATATATGTATAGTTGGGTGTGGACAGGACAAATAATTTGCTGTGCTGGCTATGAAAAAGTTTCAGGTGAGCATGGCTTTGACATAGTATGCTAAATACACTGTGGATTTGCAAATGTACGTAGAACCTTAAATATTTGCTTTGACTGTAGAGTGCAATAAACGCAGGGTAAAGGGAGCGAAAATAAACAAATAAATGAGGGTCTGTGAAGGCATTATATACAAGGTAGCAGAGAGAGCTACCAATGAGTAAAACTTGGAGTGCATTTGTATATCATTTTTCCCTTCTAATTCTTAAAATATGATAAAGATATCACATTCCATAATATTTTTGATGATATGTTCAAGGTTATCAGAAGATTTTTATTTTATATTTCTTTATTTTAGAGGCAGTGTTGTAAGTGATAGCAAGGTGAAGTGGTCTTCTTGAGCCCCAAGTACAACAAGTGTGTTGTCATATGTATATCCACAGGTGTTGTACTCGTAAATAGCTTCAGCCCAACCCTTGCACATTCATTTGGGGATGTGACAAACAACAGGTAAGAGAAGTCAGAATTTTTGAAATGTGTAAATTATTTTCTTTTTTTTTTTTGTGCTATAATACCAATTCATTTGTTTGTAGATTGAAGGTGTTATTATAGAATATCTTTTCAGGTGAAAAGAGCATTGTTTGATATAATTTTATATCCAGAGTTGCCAACTCTAGCTATACATGCATATTCTACATGTTATTTAGTCTGGACCCCCATTGTTTACAGGTATTATTCTATTGTGAATAAGATATTAGAATATAGATTGTGCATTTTTATCACTGTTATGTTGGCAAATCTAGAAATTTTAGCTCTGTACCAAGGATCCTTGTATCATGAAGTTAGAAGTTAGTTGGTTGGTAATATGTTATACTTTCCAGATAATAGCAAAAAATAAAAATGAATAAATAAATAAATAAACTATGAAACAAAACAATTAAACTTCAGATTGGTTACAAAATAATTTTAGGGGTGTTTTCATAAACAATTAAAATGACTGATCTCCTCTAAATTTTAAATTTTCTTTAGCATTTTTTGGTCACAATTATTGTTAAGTTTTATACAGCCAGCTCAAAATAAATTTGTATGAACTAAGGCAATTTGTTGTTTAGATATGGTTGTTAGTGACTTCATGAAATTAGATCGACAAAAATAATTATCAACACGTCATAGTTTTGATCCAGGACAAACAGACAAGCACTGTTCTGTAAAAGACACTGCAATAATAAAAAGAAAAGGATAAAATGAGGTTGAAAATCCTTTTTTTTTTTGCGTTTTTTCCTTTCTAGCAGTCATTTGAGACTGCTGTGCCAGACAGATCTGGTAAGCAGCTCTAACATAGGTGATTGGAATTACGGTGACGATCCATAACATTGTCACACAAGATTACACGTCAAAGTAGAAAGCACCCAGAGCCAGTAAAGAACAGGTAGAGTGTACTCACACAACCAATGGCTTGCATGTGTGAAAGTATGCTGTGATGGCTTTCCTCAAGTTTTTCACCATATGGGTTTATTGAACCATAAAGATAAGACCTTCCCCTTTCACACTTAGGAAAAAAAAGGAAATGGCCTAGAGATAAGTGGTAGGTTATTGTGTATTGCATAGTGGTGTTTTTGAATATTTTAACTTGAAATTGGCCTTGAAAAATGGTTGAACATTGAAATGTGTTTTGATTGTATAGCAGGTGGATTTCGACAACTAATAGTTATATCCATTCAAAGGGCAGACAGAGCTGTCATCTGTGTCTTCCAGAAGACAGTCAGAATTTTTCAAGTTTAAATTGATGGGCATTTAATTTTTTCTGCCAGAAGGTGGTCAAAAATGGAGGATGGATCAACAAAGGTGATTTGAAAGACTGATAGAAATTATCTTTTTTGGGGTTGCCCCTTCATTCATTTACTCTCTCTCTCTCTCTCTCTCTATCTCTCTCTCTCTCTCTCTCTTAAGTAGAAGACGAGACATAAGGGAGACATCTACATAATAGACACAACTTGCTAATTCCATACCTCAAATGTGTATGAAAAGATAAGTTTATAAATTACAGTGGACATGCAGGTCTATTGTATTGGACAATGGTCAGTGCCACAATAATAAATATATCACCAGGGTAGCTGGCTATCCATCTTTTCTTTGAAGGCTTTCAGATGCTGCTGAAGGCAGAGAGTGGCTATTAGTTTCTGGTTTGTGCAACAGCCTGTGACATGTATTTAATTCCCATGGAGAACAGGTAGAGTGTGATATATAATGTATTGATGGCAATGTAGCATACAGGTATATTGTGTGGCTGAAATATTAAAGAATGACCAGTGGATAAAAAGTCAGTTCAGAGAGATCCATGGTGATTTACATGAGTTAGTTGAAAACGGCATAATTTCAAGGCATTGATCTTAACAAAACTGCCAGGACACCACCTGAGTTTTAACAAGGTAAGAAAGTTTAAACATTTTAAGTTGAATAAGTTGAAAATAGCATGATTTCAAGCCATTTATCTGTACAAAACCTCCAGGTGGCTTAACAAGGTAATAAAATTTGAAGACTTTTGAAGAATTTTTTCACCAGTAGAATTCTCACTGGGCCACAACAATTATTTTAATGACTTCAAATCCTTAGTGTAGTTTTATGTTTCATCTGTATTTATTCAGTTTGGTTGGCAGTTAGGAGCTATTTATACTTCATTTAAAATGGTGGATGATTTAGGTATATATATATATATACTGGTATTGTCACATAAGTAATTGGACACCTGATTGTAAAATGTGTTAGCATCTAGCAGAACATGCATGGAATAAGAGTTATGTACAGGCTTGCATATAGCCAGCAATTTTGAAAGAAGTTTTTTTTAATAGACTAATATGTTTACCCTTTAAGATAATTACCCCACCCCCCAAACTTGAAAAAAAGGCATAAAAGCTAGAGCAATTTTAATTCAGAGTGAATCTTTTCTGTTCAAAATGCGGTGCTTTTGAACCCCTCTAACCCCATCCCTCTGCCTACAGGCCTCATATATGAGTAAAGGTTAGGAGTCAAATTATGAAAATGCAGATACGGTAGTATGTTTGCTTTCTGGGGCTCCAGTGTTGTACCAGGTCTCATTGATAAATTATATTGACAACTGACATTGTAATTCAAGATCACGAATAGAGTCTTATGATAGCAAGAAATAGCTATTAGTTTTGGTCACCTCTTGCTGAATACCAGAATAATATCTAAAAAATGCATTCAGACATATTGCAAATAATTTGACACAGTGTTTTAGATAAATTAATGTGGTGAAACTTAGCTGACGGATTTTTTATTTTCAGTTTTTTAACTGTTTAGGTCCTTTTTTTTCCTTTTTGTGCTATGATTGTTTTAATGTATGTTACATTTTGTTTTTTTTTTTAAATTTCTAAATTAAAGAATAATAGTTTAGTGAAAATATATTTTCAGGCACAAGTAGTTATGTTAGTAGCTACAGCAACAGAATTTTATTTAAGGAGAAACTTGACTCTGAATTTGAACTGAAACAAAAAAGTGACTAGCAGAATTTTTGGTCTTGAATTTGAAGTGAACAGGTCACTTATATTTACATTGTATTGAATTGTATTTTTACACCTTTCACAGATGCCAATGAATGAAGTGCTTTTGCATTTGGTTCTGTACAAATATGTATGGACATCTATTGTATTGCATTGAATATCATACAGGCTTAACTGAAATGTATGGGCAGCGAGTTGTTTTGCTGAAGTGTATCGTGTTTTAATTTGTGCACACTGTTTAAAACAGCTACACTGAGCAAAACAAAGGGAGAGTATTATGATATACTTGGACTGATTGTATTAGGTTCAACTTATTCATTGACTTAAATATAAGGTCAGTGCACCCATTTAGGAAGCCAGCACCAAAAAGTTGTCACATGCAGAAAACTGTGTTGTTGCAAGTGCCCAGTCAAAACTTTACAAAAGGTAAACTTACAAGTTGAGTGACATACAAACATTGGCCAGCCCAGCAGAAAAGACGGAGGGGACAGTTTAATAACAGGAATAAATCAAAGACAGGGGCTTGGATTTAAGCTGGATTGAGTGTAGATATTACCAAATTAATTCACCAGTGGTTTTAATGAATATGTATACAGGGTCATCCTATGATGCCATCCAGACCCAAACCAGTTAAGTTAAGATTGAATACAAAGCATACAGTAAATACTGTGACAGATGGGATACAGTGGGCTTCAAGTTCAACAAGCAAAATACAGTACACTCTGCAGAAATTGTCACCTTATGCCATGCATTATTGTTATCTCAAAAACAAATCTTATAGAATTAATTTTTCTATGGCATTAACTAAAATTAATATGTACATTGCCTGACTCAGATCTTCGTGTATCTGGCACAAACTTTCTGATCTATGTCACAAAAACTCCTGAAAAGCAAAAATTGATATCATATTAAACAGGTCGTCATGGCACCTTGGATAAAAACATCATGTTCTCTCGTTCTATGATATTAAGTGCTTGTTTTCAGCTGCATAAAACATTTGTTATTTTGTCTGAGAAACATTGTTTACAGTATTTGTTTTAGATATGTTTTCTCTTATATTGCATGTTTATAAACAACATCATTTTAAGAATCACTGTACTGCAGGAGCAAGTTATCAATTTCTGACATTTTTGTCATTTGTTTCAGAACCTAAGGATATACTGATAAAAAAATGACAGAGCATGAAAAGAAAGTAACTATGGACATGCCAAGGGCAAGGAAAAAAAAGAGATCTCCTCGTGAGTCATCTCGGGACAGTCAGATATCACAACTGGAGCAGGTGCCCTCTGTAAGCAGAAGAGTTGTTATGCCAGGGCCTACAGCCAGTCAGATATCACAACTGGAGCAGGTGCCCTCAGTGAGCAGAAGAGTTGTTATCCCAGGGCCTACAGCCAGTCAGGTAGGTACTAGGTGTAGAAATTTTTTGCTACTCTTCAGGCATGCTGAACACATTTTAAAAACAGTTGGACATTCGGACTGGCAGATTGAAAAAATTTGCCAGATGAAAGGGCTTTTTGCCAGACTTACTTTTTCTTAAAAATTGTGGTCAGGCCCATGGGCTGATTAAACACAATATTTCACAGATGCTTAAAATTTTTATGAGTTATGATATGTAAATCTAGACTGAAGGTTTTAGCATGTCTATTTCTTTGCAGTTAACTATGTTATGAAAAAAATTTGACAGTTATTACATGTTGTATTTGAGAGATATTCAATTGCTAATAACAATAAAAATTGAACTATAGTGATGGCAACATATGATTTATACACACCTCCAACACAAATAAAAATATTAACAAAGGATATATGATACTCATAACTGTCATAAGTATAAAATCTGTTGTATGACACAATTTGAACAAGATGATGGAGATGATTTCATGATTTGATTTTATTTACTTTATACTTTTTCTCACCTCAGCAGTTTTTCACTCATGTTTTTGTCCTCAATACTTTGTTAATGATGAACAAAACACTTTATGAAAGTTATCATCAGTAGATAGCATTCAATAACCCTAGCAGTTAAGAGTCAATGGATCAAACAGGCACACATCTTGGCACTGTCTTGCTACTTTTCTTATAAAAACTGTTTCTGAGAAAAGTAATTAGCAGTCTGTTAGTATCATCTGAGAAGATAACCACCCTATGATGGGTATACCACATGTGAACATCAGAGGTACATGTGTATGTATTGTCTGTGGTACAAGGTAATTACATGGTTGATTACTTCTGTTTTGTTAACCTCATACAAGTTCAATGTCCTTAGTGTACCAATACAAGGTCATTGTCCATAATGTGCACATGCGCCCCCCCCCTTTCCTCAACCCCCTCCCATTCACTATTCAGTAATTTAACCCAAAATCCAGATACAGAGCTGCATATCTTAGGTGCTTGCATTTAAAAAGCTCTGAACTTTCATTTCTGTTATATCAATCCATTGGAGGTAGCAAATTATCTGCTGCATGTGGAAATTCAAATTGCAACTGATTGTATAGGTTATTGTTAGCTTTCAGTCAAGAATTACTGCTAGCTTTCAGTCAACTGACCTCCACCCCCAACAGGTGTATTACTGGTCTATTACAGAATACTCCCCTTGGAGAATGAAGCAAATAATGAAAAAAAAAAGGGTCGAAATATGTTTATTCCGTAATTCACATCCTAGCACAATGGATTTAGCTGCAGATATTGTGGTAGGTGTGATGAAAACATTCTTTAACATGTTGAATGGGCACCATTGGGAAGACTTGGCTATCAGTAGCGAAAAGTGGAATTCCGCATTTTTTATTGAATTTTGATGGTTCTTGAGATTTGTCAAGGTTCAGTGTTGGGTCCCATGATAAATGTTCAGAGGTTTTTTAAACCTGGGCTCATGTCTGACAAGCTCAGCTTGTAAACATGAATCAAAAGTTTGTAATACCTATCATTTTTCTTCTCAGATATCTTTATTTAACAGCAATATTACTATGTTACACCAGTGATTTCAAAGTTCGTTACTCACTGGTACATGTATGTTGCGCAATTTTCCTGTCAACCCCATGGCTATATCATGCTGACTACATGCATATCCTACTTGATGAGATAAATTAGATACAATAAAACTACTTACACTACCTTTTTGTAACCTGTCAGGCATAACGTAGCCAAAAGCAGGGGCGGATTGAGGCTGTCTTCTGGGTCTTATGGAAGGCGGTATGATTTTCAAGTTTACATTGACTGGTATCTAATTTTTTCTGTTGGAGGATGGTCAAAAATGGAGGATGGATCAAAGATAATTTGGAAGACTGTCAAAAAATAACTCTGAATCTGCCCCTGGAAAGTATAATTAGTGGTGGCATGTCAAGATAAGCCAATTCTTGACAGATTCTTACTGGGCTCTGTTTCTCGAAAGGTTCACTATGTTGCGCACATGCGCAAGCGTCTCTGTTTCATAACTCGCCTATACTCATTCCATATAATGCATTGTAGCCTCTATTTGATATAGCGATTCGCAATATGTAATGCTTTCGAGATACGGGGCCCTGGTTCACAGAGACCATGGAAACCCTTGGATTTGCCCTGGTTGTAGTACCTATGTCTTTTATCTAACTTTTCTTCTTTTTTGTAAATGGTGGGGTGGAAAAGTTATTTTTGTGAATTCCATTTTTGAAAAAGCCTACTCTCTAGGGGATAAGAAAAACATTTTTAATTAAATTGTGCGGTAGCAAAAAGTGATTCCCCTAATTAAAAAATACTGCTCCAAAGTGAATTTGACAATTTAAATTCACAATTAATTATCACTCCAAGGAGAGGCACAATTTCATTGAAATTAATTGATAAAGAGAAAGGGGGCACCTGTAGATAAGACTAGTCCTACATATCCAAGTAGGTGATTACAATTTGACAGAGCAGGTGAGCAGTTCTCTTTTACCTGTAACCAACACCAGCTACTTAGTATTGAAGTACATGTACATGCTAACAATAGCTGTCCCAGTCAGGGCAGAAGATTGGTTACCTCAATGAGATGAGCTGTGACTGAAGTAGCAGTAGTAGAGCAACAGAGGAGAGGCTGTTACAGGAAATATAGCCATGAAACCCAGAAAAGCGGTGGTGTGTAGTAAGAGAGTGGCGATAGTGGTGAGTGACAGTGTTGTCATGTGAATTCTCAGAAAAAGGTTCTCATGGTGTTTTTTTTTTTTTTTTCAGTTACTGGGGTGCTGATTGTTATTGTAATTTAGTTGTACTTGTTGACTTCTTTCCACATTGGAGGTAGCTTTATAGTATAAAACAACAGCAATAATGGTATTAGTCACAATTATAATTATTACACTATATGTGTCTAAGAGAGTCGCTTTTTTCCCTTTTTTTGTGAAATGACCCTTGTACCAGTTCAAGCATAGAAGGTACCAGTACGTGACTGCTGAAGCAGGTAGCTTGTATAATACTTGTAGCATTATGTAGTATTATGTGCATCAAGGCACAAGATGTGTATTTCCATTGGAGATAGGACCTAACTTAGGAAGACCCATTCCAAGGGGTAACCTTATTATTAAGGAGTAAGGTCCTTTTCACATCACATTTTCAGTACCACTCCACTGAACGTGGAATTATGCTTTGGTGGATTTTAGTTCCCTTTCATAAGCCCCAATGTACCAATTATTATTAATCTGGTTTACTGGCCATGTAAAGTGTAGAGAATCTGTTTTGGTAACTCTCTTATGTAATAGCAAAAAAAATGTGGTGCTGAAATGTATTGGCTCTATTGACTGATCTTCAAGAGCCCCTCAAAAAAAAAAAGTTTAATGAGTTGAACTCATTCCCAGGCTTTCCATAAGGTGATATATTTGATATTCCAGACATAGGTATCATTTCTGTCTTCACGCATCAACTTCGTGATATCAGTATCAATTTCTCACGTAGTCATCTCATTGGGTTGTCTCTACCTTTTATAGTTTCACTATGTAAATTAAAGGCAATGTAGGAATAAGTATTAATAGTAAAACTGCCCTATTTTAAATATGTCATTTATTTGTTTATTTCTAGAAGTTATTAATTATGATTATTATTATTTTCTGATTGAGGATAGGGAGATTTTCTTACTTTATTTCTGAATGGTATTGAATGAACTCCTCACGTGCTTGGTGAGCACCCTTGTTATAGTATATCTCATATTGTATCCAAAGTTATCCTTTGTTGGTGTTATTGCATTAGATTGCACACCTGTGGGATGCCGCCATCTATCAGATAGTTGTCTCCGCTGAACCTGAAATTGTTCATTCAATAAATAAAATAAGAAAAGAAGACTTAGCGGGTTGCATTATAATTTAAAACTAGACAGTTAATAGTCCTAGTAAAAATGTTGCATCTTTTGCACCAGCATTTTGCACAATTTTTGTCAAAGTTATGCAAAAAAATTTTTTTTGTCAGAGTTATGCAAAAAAAAAAGTCATTTTGTTTCAACTTTCAACTTTCAACTTCACTGAAATAATTGCTTAGTGTGGGGATAAAATTGTTATTTCATTGAAGTAAAACTGAAATTTACAAGTGTCACTTTGTAGAATAACATTCTGTCAGCATGTGAGTTTGGTTGGGTGGTATAATTGAGGGATAACATAGATATTTAAAATATGCAACAAAAATAAAGTGAGGGGGCTATCAGCTTGAACAGTGAATATGTTAGAGGGCAGTCGTCACAGAGAGTTTTTCCTCTTTTCAAACCAACCATTTACTTTTTGGGTGATTTTATTCCTAACTGCCTAAGATAAATTAAAACATGCTAGGGTAGCGCTAGCAATTTTTTTTTTTCGCTTAGCCAAATCACCACATTTTTGTCAATTTATTATCAAAATGGTTATAATTTGGCTAAAACAAGTCAAATCAAGCCCTTTTTCTTTAGTCAATTTTTTAAAAGTCAGTTTTAGCATTTGGCTAAATTGGCGAGTGTAAGCGCTACCCCAGACATGATTTAACATTTGTCTTCAGGCCCAAATCATCAATGACCCCACCTACACCCACAGAGAAGATGATAACAACTATATTGGTGATGTCAGCATGGACCACCTGGAGAGAATGGTCTGGTCTCGTAAGCTGGAGTTCATCCTCTCCTGTCTGGGCTATGCCGTGGGACTGGGGAACCTGTGGAGGTTCCCGTATATGTGTTATAGGAATGGAGGAGGTGAGGTGGCTTATTGACTTTTGTTAAAGCTTTTTTTCTGTGTGTGTGTCTGCATGTGTGTGTGCGTGCATGTGTGCATGCTTTTTTTCCAGATTGTAATTCAGGGATGGAAAATAAGTATTATAGGTAGTTTTGTTGAATGTTACTTTTGGAATGTTTGGAATTTTATTTGATTTAAAGTGTTGATTACTCTCTCTCTTTCTTTCTCTCAGATTTAAATTGTAAAATTAGTAATTGTCCATCTCTCTCTCTCTCTCTCTCTCTCTCTCTCTCATTATGATAAATATTTGAAAAAGGGGAAAATGTCCATGCAGTCTGTAGAATTTTAATTAAAATATTTCATGAAGAATTGTTTTCTTTTTCAGGTGCTTTTTTCATCCCCTACCTGATCATGTTGTTATTCTGTGGGTTTCCATTGTTCTATCTGGAGATTTCTCTGGGACAGTTTGCCAGCCTGGGCCCTCTTTCAGTGTGGAAGGTTTCACCTTTATTTAAAGGTAAATTGAGATTGAGCAACTCTTAAAGTTATTTGTATGCTTTATGTTTTGAGGTGATGTGAAGTAAAGTTTAGCATATGTTAAAGATGGTTAAAAATGAAATCAGAGACAAGGCTTCGTATACATAATCTGTAGCTTTGTGGAAAATGTCTTAAATTATGTTAACTTTTTTACCAGTTCAGTGTCTGTATATTTGTAAGCTTTACTGTCTAGTTTCATTTATTGTTATCATAGGTGTTGGTTATGGCATAGTCACTGTGTCCTTGATGGTTAGTATCTATTACAACATGATCATAGGATGGAGCATCTTCTACCTGTTTGCCTCCATGCAGGACCCGGTACCTTGGAGCACCTGTGATAACTGGTGGAACACTGCGGGTAGGGTGCTCAGTTTTTTTGTGGTGCAACATTTTCTAATATTTATAAGAAAAAAGTTTAATTTTGTTAAATTAAAAAATTTAAAATCAAATTACCTTGTCAATATGCAGAATTGTTTGGCTTTGTTGATGCTGTAAAAGCCTTCTCCAGGGAATGCTATGGATGATAGCCAAAATCAAAAATTTTGTGCATTTTCCTGCCAGCTTTATATTTTATGACCAAAGATAAAAGATGAGGAAAAAAGAATTTTTGAAAATTGAAAATAAAAATCTATATGATTCATTAATATGATTTGAACAATTTCTTTCCAGCCTGTACAATGGATGGAAGACAGCATCAGAATGCAAGCAACAATTCCACAATTATATTAAATTCTGTTATGGGTAATATCAGTTTAAATGACAGCGCTGATGTCGGTGACACCATAGTGTCATTGGACCCTTATGAGAATGTGACACAGAATTTGACATATGTAGGAAGGCTGAAGTCATCAAGTGAAGAGTACTTTTAGTGAGTATTCATGCAGAACACAAATTATGAGAGCAAGCTAAAGGCTTACGTCTGTTAATATATAAATATTTAAAAAAAATCTTTAACATTTTTCTTTAAAAAACATTAGAGAAAGTCTTCTTAATTTGTCTGGAAATCCAGATATTTGGGTGTTTTATTAATGCTATTAATAATTGTGTATTTGTTGATTTCAGTAACTATGTCCTGGGAATAACTGATGATATCAGTGATTTTGGAGGTATGCAGTGGTACAATGTTGGCTGCCTGTGCCTTGCATGGCTCTTGGTTTTCTTAGCACTGAGGAAGGGGATAAAAACTTCTGGAAAGGTGAGCTCTGTAATTCTTCTTCTTTTTCTTTTTTTTTTTTTTTTTGATAATTTACCTCAAAGTTTGTCCAAGACAAATGAATCACAAGCACAGTTAAAATTTTACTTTTGCCATGGATCATTTGGCTAACTTTTTATAGATTTTAAATTAGTAAAATTTTGTGTAAATATTATAAATTATGAATAATTAACAAAAAATACTTGACACCAAAATAAATAAAATGCATGGTTTAACAACAATCTATTGCTATATTAACTATATCTCTCTATTTCTATCCAGGTTGTCTACTTTACTGCCATATTTCCCTATGTGGTGCTGGTGATTCTGCTTATTCGTGGAGTGTCTTTGGATGGAGCAGTAGAGGGCATCAAGTTTTTTCTCATTCCAAAGTGGGAACGTCTGAGACAGGCAAAGGTAAGCCAAAATGGAGGTACAGCCCCTTCATAACTACAGAACACCCAGTACTTTGTCTCAACAGTTGGGTCAATTTTCAACCATGGGGGTAAAAAGTGTCCATTTTTTTTTAAAAGAACCAAGTGCCCCCTTTGAAATTTTACAGGCTTTAGAATAACTTCTTCAGAATTTGACAAGTGACAATTAAATTCTCATCAACAAAAGGTATTGATCATAATTAATTATAATCAAAATAAAGTTTTAAATGAATGCTTTGCTTGGAATATAAAAACCATGCAAACAGTTATTGCCTTTTCTTTTCTTAAGGTGTGGAATGATGCTGCCATCCAAGTTTTCTACTCCCTGGGGTCTTGCTTTGGTACCCTGATAACACTGGCAAGCTACAACAAGTTCCACAACAACTGCTACAAGTGAGTATATGCATGACTGACTTCAAGGAAAATGTACTGTAATTTAATCAGGCCTTATAGTCAGTTTAAATTAACTATGAGAACTGGCTAATCTTGACTGACTAATTTCGACTGAAATTGCATACATGAATTTTGTAACTGTGTTAGTTGTGATTGTATTATTTCAGAGATGCAGTCATAGTGTGTGTGGGGAATACCCTGACTAGTGTGTTAGTTGTGATTGTATTATTTCAGAGATGCAGTCATAGTGTGTGTGGGGAATACCCTGACTAGTGTGTTAGTTGTGATTGTATTATTTCAGAGATGCAGTCATAGTGTGTGTGGGGAATACCCTGACCAGTGTGTTGGGAGGGGTTGTGATCTTCTCTATATTGGGCTACATGGCACATGTGTCAGGGACCACAGTGGACAAAGTGGCACAGGAAGGTGAGTTAGAATATGTGAAACCCAATCACACGGTGTTAATTAATGAACAGACACAATACAAGCTCAGTGGCAAGGAAAAGTTTTCCAAAAAATTAATCAGTGATATTCAAGTTACATTTTTCTTATTGACATTAATCATTTATCACTGCATGATATGTAAACAGCCCTATATCCCCTTATAATAAAGCATGTACACATGAAGATGAATATGCATCATGTAACATGGATCAAGTACATGAATAGTTCATACTAGTGCATCATTTGAATTGCATCAATTCAATAATGTAACAATAATTATTTCCTCCTGCATGTTAGCTATTTGAATGCATTTAAAATCTAATCCTTGCCAGTGCATGTACATCCCCTGTATACTCCCCATTGTAGGGTCCGGCCTGGCTTTTGTAGTGTACCCAGAGGTAGTAGCCAAGTTCCCTGTCTCTCCACTCTGGGCAATACTGTTCTTTATCATGCTGCTCACACTGGGGCTGGACTCCCAGTTTGGGATGATTGAGACCCTTGTTACTGCTATTCTAGGTAAGTTCCCTCTCCCCTTTGCATTAGTGTAATTCTCAGTCTGTTAATATGTTTAAAACAGAAGTTGCATGACATTTTCTTTTGCCGTGTAGTTATGATATGCAGGCATGATTTATCTCCAATATTTAAAATGTAGTAATTGACATGATTCTGGATATATTTAAGGGATAAAATTTTCACAAATTTAAAATATACATAGCATGAAGTTTTCTGATGCTTTGCTAATCGTGTATGTATATTCCATTTATCTTTAAGAGGTAATATATGTAGTAACTGGCAAGGTTTTGGACATATAGCAGATAAGAATGTATTTTTCTTTGTGTTCCAGAGGAATATCCAAAACAATGCCACAAAAGAAAGACATGGGTTATACTTGGAGTGTGTATTGTGATGTTTATTTTGGGATTACCATTATGTACCAAGGTAGAGTACCTTGGTCTAGATAAGTTATAAAATGGATGTATTCTTCTAGAAAATATGGATAGAAGATGACAAAATACAATACAATAAAATAAATACAATTTAAGGGTTTTACTTATTGTATTGTATTGTATTGCATTGCTTTATATTATATTATATTATATTATATTATATTATATTATATTATATTATATTATATTATATTATATTATATTATATTATATTATATTATATTATATTATATTATATTATATTATATTATATTATATTATATTAGGGAGGGATGTATTGGCTTCACCTGATGGATCTGAATGCAGCAGGCTGGTCAGTCCTCATTCTGGGCCTGTTTGAGTGTCTGGTCATAGGCTGGGTGTATGGCTACAATAGGTTTGCTGATAACATACAGATGATGATAGGGAAGAAACCGTCCCTGTACTGGAGGGCACTCTGGCAGTTTGTAACTCCAGTGATTATTATGGTAAATTAGTTGTTTTTCTAATGTTTATTTATTCTTCTTTTCATTGGCAATGCTCAAATACTTTTGCAAAACATCCTTTTGAGAGGGGGAAGTTATTTGACTATTAAAGCCCAATAAACCTGTGCCTTTTTTAAACATTGTTACTTGTAATAGTTTGAGAATTTTGACAAAAGTTCTAATCTAAAATAGCCGCTGCAGGGAAAAAACAGTGAAAATGTCTATATTTTTTCGCATTTTTTCCTTTGCAATTGAAAATAACCATAACTTATAGCCACTGTTAATTCTGCCCTGACTAGTTTATTTTGATAGTTTGTCCTGTCTAGTTTATTTTGTTTATATTGTCCCGTTAATTCTGTCTGTATTCTGTATTGTCCAGTTTATTCTGGTGTTCTCCTGGGTGGACTACAGTCCAGCTTACTATGACCAGTATGAGTACCCATTCTGGGCCAATCTCCTGGGTGGGGCCATGACCTGTCTGCCTCTGGTACCTTTACCTGTCTGGATGCTTTATGCCATCTCCAAAACTGATGGACCAATAAAGAGAGTAAGTAGACATTTAGGATGTGTCTTTTGTTTGTCAAAGTGAGGGAGTCTTGTGTTTTGTCAAGTGAGAACCTGCAAATAATTTTTAAGGTACAAAATGTGTTTATTTATGTAAAATAGATGAGATAATTGGCAAGAAGAAGTTTGCAGTTTGTTATGTTTAAAAACAGTATTTTTTCTGATGGCAACTACTGTAGACATAATGAACTGTTTATAAATATTTTGTCAAGCTATTTAACTAATTCTACTGGATGACACAAAAAAAGATCACTCAGATTTTTTGAAGCTTTCATAAGTTATGTACTTTACCATTGTCGACGTTGATTCATTGTTTCAGCGTATCCAGCTGCTAACTCAGCCTGCTGCTGACTGGGGCCCAGGACCCAGTATAGATGAAGACATAGTGGCCTTTCTTGTCCCCCAACACCCCCTATTACCTCCAGCACTCCACCTCCACCCTGACCTTCCAGAGACACCTGTCTGGGGGGATAGACAACAAGGGCTTTGAGCCTTCACTGGATTTTGATCTGGACTCAGAAATTACATCTACTAGCACTGTGAAGTTGGATAAGACCCTCTCCGCTTTGGATGTGAAGTCGCTTGCTAGTCAAGTCCGGGTAAGTTCACTTTGTTACCTGCCTGTTTGCCACTGTTTTCCATGTAAGCACAATGTTTAATGAGGGATGTAACGTGCTCCCAATGGTTATTTTGTAGGTTATTGTCTATTGGATTAATTATTGCCTAGTGCTCCGTAATGATTATAGGGAATATTCTAAGGCCGCAAATCTTGCAGGAGAATTTAAATCCTTGAAGAATTTTGATTGGATGTGTAGTTTGTCAGTAAAATTGTTGCACGAAGGAGCCTTGAGATTTGACTATCAAGTTATCGGTTTAAACAGGAAGACTCATCCTTCCAGATAAGAAATGAATTGTGCTAGGTGTAACATAGCCACTAAGAAGAAATAACTAGAATGTGTTGGGATGAGACTTGTTTGCCCTCTGTGTATTTTCATTAACCTGCTTCTTATATATCCATTACTGCAGAGTGTCTATATCACTACCATCTGCTGATGTCTGATATATTCTTATTACTATCTAGATTTTTATATGAGTTTCTAGCAAACCTGGTCATTATTCACTTTATTTGATTACTAGTAAAGAATTTGTTTGTTTATTATTTTATTTTGAAAGAAAACAAGCTTATTTTTGTGGTTTTATTTTAAAGACTTTATTTGGAAAAGTAAGAAATGTTGGATAGTCAATTGATACTACAGGTAGCCAATAAACTAACTGATGTTTCTAGAGATATATATATATATCTCATGTCAGTATAGATTGAAATAAATGCCAGCTTGCTGTTCCAACAGGTAACAAAAACACATGGTGCCGTCTGCTTGAAAACTGACGGCACAAAGCAAATAATTAATGTTTAGATTTAAAATGCATTATTTAGATAATGTCTACAGTTGTCAGTGCAGTGTGGTAGTATTTTCATAGCCTTGTGGCAAAGTATGTCTATGATATAATCCTCAGCTGTAGTCATTATGACAGTCAGTGCACAGTTTTTACGACAGTGACAGAGTACAGCCAATTTTTCAGGTAGGTGGGTATTTAATATCTGTAAAAAATATTAAATACAGGTAGGGAAACCATGCATAACTCTTCAAGCCGGTTTTTACGTGGTTTTTAATATATTGGTTTACATATATTAAATAGATATACCTCACCAGCATGAATTGAAGAATATAAGAGTTCTGATTTTCCCAGGTTTATGATTAGATGAAATATTATGCAGAACTTGCTAGATAATTACATAGGCTTGGATGTGAAACTATCAAGGAAATGAGGGCTTCATCTCTTTCATTTATTATTTATGTAAGTGAAAAATTTCCATTTTATCATTTTTAACATGCTATCACCTGGTCATGTGTCTACAGGTGTATTTATGCTTGATTTGAAATGATCAAGGTCTTGAATGAGGCGGAAAAGTTATTGCTTGCAAACAAATGATTGAAAGATTTGCGTAACAGTGGACTTTAATGAATAGCCCTGGTATGCAGCTTAACAAATGGCACACATAAGCAGAAATTCAAACGTGCACTTTATCCTACGTGCCTTACCGTTCCTTAATATTAAAGAAGAGAGAAGAAGGGAGCGAACAGAACTTTGCTCTTGATTGAACAGCACTTTGCTCTTAAGTCCTTGGTTGATATTTATACTGCACCGTGTGGTTGTGCCTGTTTGTTTGCTACAGGAAAGGCCCTGTGAAGTGTCACAATGGAGGGTCGGGGGGAGGTGGCTCACAGCCCCAGGACTCAGAGATTCATACACTCAATACTGGAGACTGTACTCTGTGTAAGTACTGGTGGATTGTGTGGATGTGTTGTGGTGGCATGGTGTGTATTGGATGCATTTTTCCAAGAGAAATTTGGAGGTGTTATATTTGGATAAGAACTATCCATTCAGTCTCTCTCTCTCTCTCTCTCTCTTTCTCTGTCTCTCTGGACTTCGTACATTTTTTTTTTGCATTAGTCTAGTTGGATTGCATTTCCTGAATTAACGAAAAATCCAATCTCATATACTACACACATCTAGGGCTTGGACATGATTTGATTTTCTCTTTGATGTATATTTTCAGACATTTATGTATTTCATGAAGAATGGGAACTTGTCTCTAGGGTTTATAATACGTCATACCAAGGTTATCTCTCTTTCCAGCTTATATTTTAGGTGTGCACAGTGGCCAATTTGATGAAAGGGTATCCTAAAACCACCTGCCTCTTGAACATTTTCTTACATTTTTTTATGCAGTTGGTCTCTAAAACACACAAAGAAAAAAATTCCTGATGTTCTTTAGATAGATTTAAAAAATAAGGCATAGAATGTCATTTTGCCAAAAGCACTGGTTTATTCCTAATAGAATATTTAATATGATTTATGATTATCTTCGATCCCATTCTAGTTCAGAAAGACATTTACTAGATAAAAGGAAAAGCTAAGAATAAATACATTATTACATTTTATGATATTGAGAGAGGAGATGGATTAAAGCATGGAGGTGATAATGAGATTGGACATTGATTAAAGTGGTGTTGTAGAAAAGACCAGTTGTAGGTATTTGTGGATCGTTTTAGCAAGGAATAGCTGTNATTCCCATCCTAGTTCAGAAAGACATTTACCAGATAAAAGGAAAAGCTAAGAATAAATACATTATTACATTTTATGATATTGAGAGAGGAGATGGATTAAAGCATGGAGTGATAATGAGATTGGACATTGATTAAAGTGGTGTTGTAGAAAAGACCAGTTGTAGGTATTTGTGGATCGTTTTAGCAAGGAATCGCTGTGATCAATCAGCATTAAGTGGACTGCAAGTTAATAGGAACTGGGTGTGCCAAAAGTATGTGTATTTTGTCAGATTTAGCTAGAGTAAAAAAAAAAACACATCTGATTGTAGTAAAATGCACTCATCTCTACACTTCTGATACTTTATATAAATGATAAGAAGTCCTTGAAAAATCAGCAATGCTATGAAATGGAAGAAATTGCAAGCAGATAGTAATAATTGAACAGATGGAGTCGTCAATAAATGACATTTGATTTATCTGAGTGCTTTGAAGTATAGATACTAGGTCCTTTGAGTGTAGTTCTCCTTTTATTAAAAACCACAGAAATCACAAGAAATTATCTTCCTAGTAATAGATAAAAAGCATTATGGATATGGGTTAAGAGGTGCATTGAGTACTTTGTTATCTTGAGAAAACTCAAAATAGATATATGTAGGACTATAGCCAGCAAGGGGTGATCTGGTATTTGCTTTACCTTTGTTGGCCAAACTTGAAGAGAATTGTCATAAAACCTAGATTAAATTTTGATTCAGAGCAGACCTTTTTCTGACCAAGAAGACGAGCCTTTCTAACCCTCCAGCTCCCTCTCCCCCCACCCTCTGCCAACAGGCTTGGTACATTATTTTTAAAAATCGTTTAAATTTTACTGTATTTTTCTGGGAATGTCACTTGTATCACATGTGTATACTTGAAGTACGTCAAGGACTGTTAGGAAGAAAAACAGATCGATCATTTCTTACAGATTGGTTCATATCTGATCAGTTTCCAAGAACCAGATCATAAACATGCCTTAAGCAAAGGTCAAGCAATATGATGCTCAAAATAGACAATTTGTTACTAATTGTGTAAAAAGTCTCATAATGAAAGTTAATGAAAATAAACAATTTGTTGCTTGTTATGTAAAAAGTCTCATAATGAGAGATACTGAAAATAGACAATTTATCACTTATTATGTAAAAATTCTCATAATGAAGATTTTGAAAATAGACAATCAGTGACTTTGATATAAAAAAGTCTCATAATGAAAAGATCTGAAAATAGACAATTTGTTACTTATAATGTAAAAATTCTCACAATGAAGATTTTGAAAATGGACAATCAGTGACTTTGATATAAAAAAGTCTCATAATGAAAACAACTGGTAAATCAAGAGGGTATCCAGTAGAAAGTGTTGTGAGCGGTATTGATCAGTTCACGTTGACTCATACACTGCTGTGAATTGGAACTATTTCTGTGAAACAGCCAGAGTTCATTTAACTGTCTGGTGTTTTAGCTGGACTAAGGTATTGTTCTTAACCACTGATAGAGAAAGTTGAGGGAGACGTACGCTCCCTGTCATATGCTGCAGAACTGTCACAGCACATGTTGTAACCATTATAATGAGGATACATTTTGATGAGTTTATTCGCTTGGCCTGGGTAAGTAAAGCCTTACGTCACATTATGTCAGTATGTGAGATGTAAGAATATATGAAGTACAGTACACATGTATGAGCAGTGTGGCAATGTCCAGGTATGACCTGCCTTCAAAGACTGAATTCATGATGGGGGAGGGGTAAAGTAGGCACTTACAGACTTTTTTTAATGTGTTAATATATATCAAATTTTAAAATAGTAGGAGGGTGTGTGGTAATTCATATTTTCCTTTACAGTAAGGACTTGCGATGCAAATGCAGTCCAGACATATTCAGTTTTTATGTTAATTTCTGTCTCTGAAAACGGACTGCATTGAGGCAAATTACTAAACAAATATCTGAGTATAAGCTTCATGATAAAAAAACTTTATTTGCATTTTTCTTCCAGAGACATTTTTGTATTGACAAGCATATGTTGTCGTTTTATCATGACTCACCATACACTATGTTTGAGATTATTCAGTGTATTAGTGCTGTGGTCTGTTGAAGGAAACCACTTGACTGACTGTAAATCAATTTTCTTTTTTTTAATTTTTACTTCAGAGTCCCATTTTCCCCCCTTTTTCTTCAACCAGGGAGGTATTAAGCCCTTTTTCATTCTGTTTTAATCCCTCCAATATGTTTGCATGGTATTTAATAACATTTGGTCTAAAAATATTTTCTAGTTTTTCTATTGATTGAACTTCAAGATTTCAATAGTGTTCAGTGAACTTTTGTTTGCATAACATTTCTTTTACTATTATTTTCTTTTCCAGTGATATTCCATTGTTAATTTCTGTCAAAACATCAATTTGTGAGATGTCATCATACTCATATTTTATTTATAAATCATTTATTTTTTATTTTGGCATAATCATACAAAGAGTCATTTAGTTCTTTCACAGCTCTGATATTCTGAGACCAAAATTAATACTGTTGTCAGTAAATATTAAATGCATTTTGGTTAAAGAGGTTTAAGTTATAGACAAATATAAAGAAAGGCTAAATTAGTTTGTGTCATTAATTTAATAGTTGACCAGAGTTGCCAACTATGCAAATTCTACATATTAGTTACGACAGACCCCTGTTGTTCACAGGTGTTATTCTGTTGTTGAGAGAATGTTGGACAATATATGTGTGTAACTAGACACATTTGAGTAAACTGTCATGTTGGCCACTCTGGTTAATTACTAGCCTTGTAGAATATTTGTAATGAGTCCCTCCTTTGAAGTTCTCTCCATCCATCATAATTCTGCCTCTGGTCTACAGTTACTGCAGCTGTAATTATCTGAAGTGAGCTTGGATGGATGGCTAATTGACATGAAGTGGCTCATGTAGTTACATCTTTGCCGTTAGACTTAGCTTATAGCCATACATAATTACGTAGGTTTTTTAATTGGGAAGACACATAATTAACCAATAAGGTGATGTTAAAACAGTGTTGAAATGTTGAAGACCTAGCGGATGATGGCAAAGAACAAGGTTAGTGTGATACATTTTGTAAACTGAAATGGTATTTTCAGCTGTGTGAATTTTTTTCTAAGGAACCAGTTTAAAAGAATGTAATTTTTGGGATCTGATTTTCCCTACCAGTGTCCTCAATTTGCATATGTGGGTGCTTGTGTGTCAGTGGTGTATGGTAGGGCTGTGTACCGGTACAGTACCGTAAAAGTGGATTGGGTACAGGTCAAAAATACCGGATCATGAAAAACCGTTACTGTGCCGATATAAATTTACACCAAGTACACATGTATGTGTTTATTTTGTGAGCATGCCCCAGACCCCCTCCCCCAGGAGGCACGCGGCTGCGCCGCTTGGGATCGGGCCTTCGGTCCTCCATGGGACCACTGAACACTGGTTCAGGTACAGATACACGTCCGGACCTGTACCTAAACCTCTGTACTGGTACCTGTATCTGTACCTGATGTTACGTTTAGGTACACAGCCCTAGTGTATGGGTGTACGTGCAAGTGCATGAACTCTGTTTGTGGTTGATATACCTCTGTCATCCAGACTAAATATTGCTGGTACAGATGCCCAACCAATGTTTGGTTACTTTGCTCAATCTAAGGACAGCACTTGAAATTAAAATGTCTCAGAGAACTAATAAGATAAAGACCAAGCATTTCATTAATGTCCAGTGTTAATGGTTTATAAGGGTAAGTTACTCCTGGTTTACTTAGGGCTGTACTGGTAGTGTTATCTAGTGGTCCTCACAGTGCTTTATCCATGCCTGGCATTTGATGCACCACATGGCATTATACTTATATCTTATTGGTGTTTTCCATAGTTGAACCCTGGAGAATTTACTGGTCAGTTTTTTTTTTTTTTTTTGCAATCTGAAGGTGAACTCTGGAAAATATGCTCAGGCAGTCAAAAAGCAGGAAATCTGATAAGAATGAGGAAATGAAATATTGAATGTTTTGAGGAGCGGACCCCAGTATTTCCTCATCAGATATTCAGCTAGGTACTAGGACCAGTTGTGTAATGAACTGAAAAAGTTATTTATTAGTAATACCATAAGCAGACACCGTGAAAATTCAACTGGTGGCAGCTTGCCAGGAAGAATGAAATGAGTGGTGGCTTCCTGATACAAAAATGTATCAACTGTAGTTAACATAGTCGAGGTCTTGGAACAGTGTCAGGACTGCAGAGCTGCCAATGTGGAAGTGTTCAGTCAAGCTGAATGGTAGATATCTTCTGCCATATATGGATCTTTTGCTGAGTTAATTTATTTCTTAATGAATTATGAAGGAGAAAAATTTGTCTACCAGGTGTTTGTTGAGTTATGGTTTTAGGTGTCTCATTGAGATAGTGTTTTTAATGTGCTGATATTTGTTATTAAACAGAAATGTCATGCTTCTTTCTTCTTTGAAGTAGAAATTGACAACATATAGGAAGCAGTAGCTGTCAATCATCAATTCATTATAGATTATCATATGTTAGTGATTTGCTTGATTTATTGATGTCATATAAAACTAGGTTTCATAAGCTTTTATTGTTCATGCCTTGGTACAGTCTGGTTTCAATCCAGTATTCATTCCCTGGGGTAGCTTGTGATACATAAATATAATAAAATATGATTTTAGCCTTTGCTTTAGAGATACTATTATCATATGTTTAAATGAAAAACTATGTTTAAAGGGCTGAGTGTAGGTGGGCGGTGGATGTATTATAACTGCAAGTTTGAGAAAATGTTTGGCAACACAAGCTAAGACATCATTTCCAAAGTGATCAAATGTTCAGCGTAATTTGGTAAGTGGAAGGCCATTAGTGAAAGTGTTGACTTAACAGGTGCAGAAAAAACAATTAAGCATAGAAGTAGTGGTAATTAATGCAACATGTAGCAGCGATCAGTATACTCAGTGTTACAGATCATTAACTTGTTGATGGTCCATGCTGTCTGACTGTTTGTTGGTCATTCCATAAAAAAATGAGCATTTGAATCATCTCAGTGACACATATTTTGTGTAATATTTGCATAATTTTGACTTGTGAAATTATTTTAGGTTTTTTTATACTATAGTACCCTCTAGTATGGAATGGAATTTAGATATAAAACAGTTATGCAAATATTATACAAAATGTACAGTATGTATTGCTGATGTGACTTTAATTTTCACTTTGGGGTGTGTGTGTGTGTGTGTGTGTGTGTGTGTGTGTGTGTGTGTGTGTGTGTGTGTACATCATGTTTGTGGGCATATTTGTGTGTTTTTTCATATTTTCATATAAAAAGTGCCATACATTATCTCTAGTACCATACAAAGCAATGAAACCTACCAGTGTAAAGATCTCACACTAGCTGACCCCTCTGCAGGGTGTCCTCGTTGTCTGCAGGAAGAATCAGAACAGCAGGACTGTCTTATCTGTAGTTTTAGGCGAGGGATGAACCAGTGAACTACTGGAGAACAGTGGGAGACATGTCCCGGAATGTCAGGCACCTGTGGTGTGAAATACAGGGCCTTCTCTAGGCCCTTGTTTTACATAAAAAAGAAAATATATGAAATCTTGACAACCTAAACTCAGCTAGTTGGGTTAAGGAAGTCTGCTTGATTTTAAAGAAACGTCTTTAACACTGTACTATACTGTGAGAAGTTCTCTAAATTCAAGCAGTGGAAATTTGTAATGGTCAATTTTCTATTGCTTGTTTGTTATGAGAATCCCAAGCTGATGAACCTTTTCAGTTTAACTCTGTACTATATAACATTACTGGTGTTTTAATACTGTCTTTATAGGGTACAGACTATTTCTTTTTCTAGACGAAACTTGATATGTATGTCATATATCTAATTATTGTTTTGTCTATTGAATAATTTATGTGCCATTTGCTATTTAGAAAGTATTGAGGCAGCCTGAGTGAAGGGTACTTTTAAGAACCAGGGTAACAAGTGCATAGTAAGAACCACAGGAAGTCATCACTATTGGAAACTGAGGAGGTTTTCAAATATAAAATTGCATTTAATTTTACCCTATTACATGTCATTATCTTTTGCATTGTTGTTCTTACCATTGTGTTAGCTGTGAATGAAGCATCCATTGTGTTGTTGTTCTTTTGTCTCATCCCAACACAATGGTATGTGGTCCCTGATATACATATTACAAGAGCCAGATAGAGTGTCATGATTAAAATGCAGTTACGTGCTATTTATTTACCTAAAATGCTTGAAATGTTTTCAGTCATTTATAATGGACCTTTGTTGCGAAAGTGTTTGCAAATAAGTCTATTTTGTTGTTAACTATACTGTTAGTGCAAGCTGTGGAATTTGGCTTGCTTGAGCGGTTGGTTTGAATGCCTTCAGTGGGGGTGTTGCTTAGTTTTGACATGGTGTGCACTTTAGTGGTTAAAGACCTTTGTGACGTGGATGTATGGTACCTGTTACCTCTTGGTTCTTGTACCAGTGTGGACATAGAGAACTGGTTGATACATAGGTTTGGGATAGGTGTGGTTGTGTCACATATTAAACAATCTAATGGACTCTGTAGTGATAGAGATGTATACTGTAGATTGTTGCCATAGAGAAGATATGGAAGTGCATGCTTGCCACAGTGATATGTGGGTGTAGATGTACCTGTTTGCCACATAGTGATAGAGATGTAAATTTGTGATATAAGCAGTTGCCACAAAGTGATATAGATGCACATTTGCCACAAAGTGATAAAGACAGTTGCCACAAAGTGATATAGATGCACATTTGCCACAAAGTGATAAAGACAGTTGCCACAATGTGTATACATGTGCTGCAGGGTGACGGAGATAGAGATGTACATATTTGCTGTAAGGAGATAGATCACGCAGACAAGATGAACTGAAGTAATTTGTGGCTTTTTGCTTGTAGTGACATACTATTGGCACTTACGTATACAGTAACTCAGTTAAGAAAACAAGCAGTGCTATAAATAAAGTGACTGTAATCAACAGACAGAGAAAAGGAGGGAACCCCAGGTGTAATTGGATGTATATCATATAGTTTTTAAGTGGGCAGTGATGTAACAACACATTAAGAAAACTGTCATCTGGCTGCAAGAGCTGGTTTGATGTTAAGTTTTCGTTTTACACCTTCATTAGGACTACCTGGAAACATGTTAGACATAACAAGATTCTGCTGGAGTAAATTGCATTAAATGTTCTCAGCTGGTTTCTGAAACCAAGGAGTCTATATATACGTATATCAGGTCGTAGCTGCAATTTACACTGTATACACTAGCCCCATACTGTGAATGGAGAGGATCCTGTGAGGAGGCCTTAACGTGGGCTTTGGAAGTAGTCAAAGAAGAAATTGCTCAATAGCTCAAGGAAACTGCAGGGGCACTTTGTATATCTTGCTACATCTTTGGGATTTATGGAAACTTTTAGAACTTCAACAGCAGTGGAATAGAGCAGTTTTTACTTATTGCTGTGACTTTGTGTTAACATAAGGTTTAACCATGTCACTACCCCAGGTGGCTGGATCAGTGTTCAACTTTAACATGGATTTCAGTGTTAATCTCATGTTTTGATACAGCCACTAGAAAGTTTGGATTTACATAAGATTACACTGTATCACACACGTGCAAAGACCTTCAGTTGAATAGAAAACCACCATCATGCATAAATTTTACTTCTAGTGGGATTAAAAATGACTGATCACTTTTCAATTGACTAAAACGTGCTTGATTCAATGGGGCAGTAAGTGTTTTCAAGTAGTTAAGGTTTTGGTAATCATTATTCTGCCTGAGAAAGGAATACATAAGTACACATGTACAATCTACGGACTAGGAACGTAAGAGTTGATCTCCATAAAAATTCACGCGTGACAAATGAATGAGACTTCCTGCTGTTATGTTTCCTTTAATGGCTGAATTTGCGTCCCAAGGACAGAAGACTTCATTGTTTTACTTTTTTATTGGAAGAACCTGTGTTCATGCATACCTTAACATAAAACATAGCTTATGACTAGACAAGCTGATGATTTTTTTTAATGTGATTTGTCTTCAAGAAATTAACATGAGAGAGATGTACATTTGCTTATAAAACAATGGATTCAGCAACCAAGTCTGAAAAACAGCAAGTACCTTCCCAGGCTCAGGACTTGAGATGCTCTTCTGCCTCGTAGAAGTCATGGAAGTCATCTGTTGATGGATATCTTGGAGATAAGACATCAGATTTGATATCCAATGTGGAATGTTCAGGTCACTACAGAAACAGTGGGAGTATGATACTTCTGTAGATTAATACACCAGAGGATTTGTTCTGTGATGTCTTTTTCCATCCCAGGCTATCATTGGTGGGGTCATGTCCTGTTTTTTTCATACTTGACTGTTTATTTCTACTTAATTTTAAAGGTAATGGTTTTCACAGAGGACAGTGTCAAGATTTTTTTAAATTTGGGCATGCAGGAATTTTATATATGATGGTTTGTTTTATCATGTTGAAAACATTGGAAAGAAACAAACACTTTTTGTTTATTCCCTGTGGAAATGATGTTTTTTGAAAGAATGTCATTAATGCTATACACTGCAGTGGTGTATATAAACCAGCCCTTTTTGAGGACATCTCATAAACAGAGCTAACCAGCGCCATAGAAATAACCTTCATCAATGAGGCAAGGTGTGAAAGGCGATAATGTGTTACCATCTCTTCTACAACTATATAACTTTGGATTAGATGCAATTTGTTACGATTTCTCCTATTAATGAAGAGAAGACACATAAAGCTTTACACATAGAAGTGCATGACATGCGGCATATATGTCAACACTGGGGTCAAAATGTTCATGACCCCATGCCCATTTAAAAGAAGATAATATATTATGCCCCTACCAAATTTAACTTGTACAATTTGAAGAAAAAGGGGCACTAAAAATTCAACCTAGGTCAAACGTACAAAGAAGTCACAGAAGTTACAAGGTGTTCGAGACAAAGATGGCTACAGAGAAGAAGGTTGGATTTAGGGAGAGGCTGTCTATTAGCTATGTGAGGCGGGCGTCTGTAAACTTGGCCAGCATGCTGCTGCAGGTGGGTTTGATGGACAAACTTTGTTTTTTTTTTTCACTAAAATCTTTGCTTCAAGTTACCTGTGTGTCATTTTTTTCAGAATTTACTGAAAACTAAACTGTTGTATCTGCATACCTTTGCATATTTCAGTAGCATTTCCAGCTGTTAATTAAGTGCTTGGTATTTAATTCATTTTTATATGTATTTATATATTCATATATACTCATTATTATATTTCTGACACCCAGATACCATGGCCCATAGGAGCCTACGCGTGCGTCTTTTAGACGCCCCTTTACATGTGANGGTCTTGAACCGCTTGTAGACTAGCTGTCTCTGATACCCCTGATATTTTTTAATATATGTCATATGTCAATCTTTCTTATACAATATTTCTCTATACAGGTGCCTCAAATTTCAGATTTCAGTATTTATTTATTTTTGAGAAACTTCTTTTGACTCACACCTTGAATTCTAAAACAGCTCTGGAATTTCAAAGGAAGAAAAGGTGTCCTAACCGTCCCGGGGGTTTTTGAGGTGTGTTTCAATATTTATAATGAATTGTTCCTATTTGAAAAGGGGCATGGCATGCTTTTGATGGTGGAAATGTAAGGAGACTTTAAGGTAGTGTTCACAAACTGTCTCAGTTGAACCATTAATGGACTAAGTGACATCACTGGATGGGTGCAGTACATGGAGCACCTTTCTCAACCTGGATCTTAAAACCACATGCTAAAAAGAAAAGGTCATTCGGAGACAGAGGCCCTTCTTACATTGAGTCAGTTTTCTGTACTGCAGAACTTTGAATGGTCCTTATGCTATGAGGGGCTTTATTCCCTTTCACAAACCCCAATGTACCAGTAGATGAACTTAGCTGACTGTGTGTGTGTGTGTGTGTGTGTGTGTGTGTGTGTGTGTGTGTGTGTGTGTGTGCGTGCTTGTTTGTGAGCTTCCTTTAGGTCACTTTCTCACATAATACCCAGGCAATTGCCCATCTCTCAAACTGGAATGATTCGGAAAACTATACTATTCAATGTGTAAAAGTCCCACTTACAAGGATAAGATCATGTTAGGCAATTCCAGGTCTAAGTGAGACCTGATGTGAACTCACATGTAGTCAGTCTAAGGACATGGGTCACCCACTGATATCACATACACATACCTGAGGTGGGGGAGGCCTTTCTGTAGAAAGGAGGCGGTACAGTCAAGTAACTCAGAGAACTCAACAATAGATTTCCCTTCTCCAGATTCTTGGTATTGACTTGAAAGTAGCCTCATTGTTCAGAAATGTTTTATTTTAATCCCAAAGTAAACTAGATGACTGATTGAGACTGAAACTTGTGATTGATGAACTAGTCATTAGGTGTTTATCGGGAGGATTCAGTTAATTGGGTCAGTTAACAAGTGATTTCATGCTTGATTGGATAGCAATGGAGTGATTTGCTTTGATTGGACCATTACTATTCAAATACAACTTTACAGCAACACGTATATAGAAAGGGTTATGTATGGTAAGGTACTACATTGGCATGTTGGGATATGGCAATTTTATGGAATATCTGAACTCTGGTATCGAGTAGAGATGGTTTATGAGGTTCAGTGACACTGGAATCAGAGAATTAAGTTTTGATGATTCTGGAAATGAATTTTCAGATAACTTAATTTTGTCATATTTGTTCAAATTAGTAGGGGATGTGTGACTCAATTTATGTATTGAATCTGACTGACTCATAAGTGGCAGCAGGATTTAACACCAATTACGAAATCACTGTCACCAGGAGCAGAGCGACAGCGTTTTCACAAGTTTCAAAATTACCTACACGAGAAGGTGTTGCGCAACTTAACCACTGTTTGCATTTTGACAGTTTGGGAGAAGAAAACGGTGTCTGTAAAACTTTACGTTAATAATGGACCTTCATGTGCTGTGATTTTAACAGAGCATTAGCTGAGGTTACGTAACATTCAGTGTGTTTTTTTGCTGAAGATAGTGAAGACAAGACGGCTGACCAGTTCTGGAAATAATAACCCTATTTGAGAGCCCCTCCACTTCCACTGGGATATGCCAGTGCTGAAGTCAGAGAAGATCTCTGTAGAAATTAACGGAAATTAACCTTATTAGAGAATACTTTTCAGAAGATCGAGGGATTAATGCAAGATCTGGAATTATCCTAGGGATACCTGTCAGTAAAAATGAATACAATGCATAAATCATTCACTGTCACAAGTCTTCAAGGACTGCTGACAAAGTTTGTAGAGGTATGTACGTCAAAAAGTTTGTATACAAAGGTGTCTTTCTGTCCAGGTTTTGCTTTCCAGGTAATTTATGGTATACAAGTACACACATATTATATCTACAGTAGCCATTAAAGGTTATCATGTTTATTTTCTTTTCTTGTAACTGTAGATTACTTCAAAGCATGGGTTTTCTTTCCATAATTTCTTATTTGAGTGTTTTCCCTACCCTCATCACTGTAATATGTTCTCAAATCTTATTTCACAGTCACTCACCATTGCTGTTGTAGACAGATCTCCAGTGTTGTAACTGTTTACTGGACTGTTTGACCAGATGTTTAATACATTTCTCAACAGAAAGTGAAACCTTAAACTGAGCTTAATCCACTACCCTCCATCACAGACAAACAACAACTTGTACTTACTGAGTACATGATTTTAATCTGATTTTTAAAATGTGAATTAGTATTCTCTTGTTGTTGTTTAACCATGAGGGGTTCTCAGAATATCCAGAATATTAAGGCAGTCTAGTAAAAAGGGGAAATGAATAATAAAGGACTGGAGTATTTGTAATCAGAAAGAAAATTGAAAGAAAAAAAAAATTTTTCTGCTTATGATTTGTCCAATGCAATCGAAATCCAAGGCTCTTTCCTATCATCATGGTGTAACACTTATAGTCTTGCATTTACTGTATTCTCAGCATATCCTGAAATTACATTTGAAATATGTAGATTGTATTGATAAAAATCAAATTAGGAAGTCCATAATAAACACAATATTCTTACCAGGAAGGAAAGGGCAGGTACTCTGTCCAGAGGCTCACCCCAGTTTTACCATTCTACATGTGTAAGGGTGACCTTTTACCAACAGATCCTCAAAACATGTGGCTATTGATCTACTAGTAGGCTACTGAGAGGTCTTTGTGCAGATGCATAGTTTGATACCAGTATTGCATCCACAGTTATGATTTCACTGGTATACATATTAGATCTATGATATTAAAACCCACAAGGTAAGCATTTATTTAGAACAGTCTTATGGGAGAAATATAAAATGGTGATTTTATTTGTCTTATGAGGTTTTAAGTACCGGTATAGGAATGGGAATAGTTGCCTGTACTAGTATTGATTAAGGCAAAGATAATTGTCTTCTGCTTGTATTGTATGTTGTTTCATTAACTGATATATGTACCAGTAGTACGATAGATCAAGTGCTTCTTCTGGTAAGTCAGGTTCTTGGAAAAAAAATATTTGTAGAAATCTTTGAAGAAAACTTAAAGCAAAAATCTGAAGGGCATCAAATAAACCATGTACTTAGTGTCGGATAAGAGGGTGTTTTTTTTATATTTTTAAGTTTAAAGCTGTCTGTGTTGCATGCAGTAATCATTGGTGGTAAAATTTATAGTTAAACTCGTGACTTAGCTTGTGTGCTGGTTTTGGTTTTTGGTGCTCTACTGTTCTCTGCTTTTTTTTTTCTTTATGGAAAAACTAAATCTGAAGGTCAAGATATGAAACAGCATGATGTAGACAAACATATTAAGTAAAAAGGAATTTATGTCAAATATTACTCTTTCTGGGTCAGATGGACTGTTTCTGCTGGTGACTTCAACTCTGTGCATTTATACGATTTTGACTTTAACTTTAGGACAGACTGGCATTGTTTACAGGTGTTTTTCTGTTGTTCATAAGGCATTAGGCAATAGATCATCTACTAGTACATTACTAGTATTGGAGTACTGTCCTGTTGACAACCCTGTAACTGACTGGCCCCCAGTGTTGAGCAGCTCAACCTCAGGCACTAACAGCTAGTATTTCCTACTTTCTAGTCTGGAGGCATGTGGAGCTTGTAATACTGTGGTTTTAACACAAGTTGTTAATGTCAATATCCATTACTCGGATTACTGCATGCTAACTACCATAACTATACAGGCCTGTCTGCATATATATATATTTGTATATACTAAAGGGGAGTTTGAGAGGGGGTGGGGTAGGATTTGAAAAAAACTGCCTTTTGAAACAGTGTATGGCCCTTTACAATGTGTTCAGTATGCTAGTAATTAAGGTGCAGAATTTCTGAGGAAGTTCTGAGGGAGCTTCATTCCTAAATTGCCCTAGATCACGAGTTAAAATTTTCGTAAGAAATGTAAATGGAATATATATTTACAAGTAGGGGAAGTGGATAAAAAAAGTTAAGTGTTTGAGTTGTGTTTATTCCAGTATTATAGCTAATACAGGGCAATAAAAGACACTGATGTGAAGTGATACTTCCCTGTTAGAAATGACTACCTTGACTCTACCTGGTAGGTGCTATAATACTGATATGCTGGTTAGTAAGTGTAGAGATCAGAGGAATGTTTATGTTGGACTATGTTACAAAACACCTGTGAGATTACTGGTACAGGTGTATGGAGAGGAATACCAGGGAAGATTACACCTATCTGTTATATAATATCAGAGTTATATAGCCAGTTTTAAAAAAAATAAAAAAATTATTTACCTCATATTGATAATGATTTTGATAAAAATTATAATTGGGCATGGGTGGAAAAATGGAAGCATCACATATGTTCCAAAAAATTACTCTTACGTTTCATTGCAATTAAGCTGTCTGTTTGATGTAACTTTATACCATCCCGGACAATTAGGCCAGGAGAATATAGCATAATATATATTTATACATACAATATTACAGAGAATCTTGATTGCAGTCATATTTATGTGTAAAAGAGATGTATCTCGGTGTTTATGCTTGTGCCATAGCTGTTTACCAAGACTCCAGTCCTGTGTACA